CAGGTCATGGTCCTCAGGTTCACTCCACTAGGAGGTGAGCAAGGGTTCAGTAGCAGAAATAGCAGGTAGGGAACAAGTAGTTAGTAAACAAGCCAAACATCAGTAATAAGTGCTTACAGATTGGGTTCAAGCAGAAGCATAGCCGAGGAACAATCAAAAGGTCAGTAAAGAGTGGTAGTGTAGATAAGGACAGCTGCAGGTACTCAAAGGAACAAGATATTGGCTATAGAGAGCACAATAATATAGCAAACAGGAAGTGCAAAGACATGGCTTAAATTAGAAAGTAGAGTACATGGGCAGTAGCAAAGAGTTCAAGGTTCACTAGAAACAAGAGACAAGGCAAGATTGTCCTATGAGGTCAGATAGGATGCTGTCCAGCATCTCAAGTGGCTCAGCAAGAACTACTGCCAGACGCAGCAGAGGTTGTGGGTTCAGATACTGGTCCTGACAGATAGTGTTCTATACCAGCGGGTACAGAGTTTATATCAGTTCTCTTGGATGTTAACGTCTAATGATATTTTATAAGTCTGGGTAAATATATGTTCCCAATCCTCCTCAGTAAGTTGTATTCCCAATTCTGTTTCCCAATGTCTGCACATAGGACTTGATTTTGCAAGGACATGATCAGACATACACTATATGAATAGACAGTAGATATACGATGTTGCTGTGAAAGGCATTAGGTTTCAAATGAAATAAATGTCCTACCAAATGCTTGTCTGGAACAAGGTTGGTTAAGGAAATGTCTAATTTGGAAGTAAGTCTATATAGATAGGGAGTCAGAGGGAGATAGAAGATGTATATCATGCCTGTTGCAAAATACGCCATGCTTAAATGTTGCATTATCCTAAATAAAATAATATTTTATATTTTTAAATAAAATATACAGTTTTCATTTTAAGTGTGCTTTGTTTACTTTTCCTTGTAACTTTGTGCTCATCTCATACTAAATGCTATATTTATCTTGGAAAGCTTTAAGAGTTTCAGATGTCTAAAACATGTCTGTAAAGTTATGTACACCATATTTTTTCAGATCAGATTCTTCAGTTGCTAGGAATATTTTATACATATTGTAAACAGCTGTCTATCATTTTAAGGAAATGAAAAGTTTCCCAATCATTTCAGAGTAAGGGTTCAGAGAAGCAGAATGCACTTAAATGCATTTAAATGTGCATTTTACTGATGGCAAGTATCATATTTGTGAAAAATAAATGCCCCCTTTATCCTTTAAGCCATGTTGATGTCACTGCATTACCAGTACAACTTAAAACTTATTTCCTATAAAATATTACTGGCGACTTTCTCTTCGTAAATCCTTTTCAAAATGTCAACAGCTGCTGCATACAAATTACTGGCCTCCATTGAATTATGTGACTTATCTGGTCCTTCTGTTGAATTTACCAAATTGCACTCACCATATCTGAATCCTAGCTTTAGGAAGACATTAGCACTGAATAGTCAACAGGAGTCACCTTTTACACTGCTGACAAGTATGATCTGTTTAAAAAAAAAAAAATAGTACTAGACATAATAACTTAATCTTCAGCAGCAAATCTCATGTGATCTGCAACTTGAAGGTTGTCCTCTGTGACCCTTCTACTCTGTAATAAAATGAATGAGGCAGAATTTTGATGGTCATACTTAAAGGAGCTCTAGGTCTCAATTCACATGATGGTTGTGCCCAATGGCCAAATTATGCACTCTTGGACTAACTCCCCCTTTGCACCATCATAACCAATTTTTTTGCCTTCAAGGCATTTTTGTAAATAAGCAGTTGGTAAAATTCAGTTTGTTAAAAGGGCTTACTGTATGCAGCTTGATGGAAAGTGTTTTCTGTTTTTTTTTATTTTAAAAGATCATTTTGTAATTAAGTTTGGAAGAAATTTGATGTTTAGTTTTTTCTCTACGTTTCTCCAACGTGGCAGGGGAAACATCAGGATAGATTTGTAAAACCGAGCCCTCAAAGGAGATTGTTGGAGTATTGCGAGCAGCTCTGAGGATTTCTTCCTTGGTCAGAAAATCCTTCATGCACAAGACAATATCCCTAGGCGGCTTGTCAGCAGGAGGTTTAGGGCGTAGGGCTCTGTGGATGCGGTCACAAGCAAAAGATCCAGGGTCACGATCTGGAAGGAGTGACTTGAATAACTTGGTTATAATTAATGAAAGATCCGACATAGACTCCGGGATTCCCCTGATTCGCAGATTATTCTGCGATTGCGATTGTCAAGATCCTCGACCTACGCCTGCAGTTGTGAAAAGGCCGTTTGTAAATGATCATGCTCTCTGGAAAGTTCACCATAGGCCAGGCTAAGTTCATCGTGTTTGGTTTCCAAGCGGTCTGTCCTAGAGCCCAGCGTGGCTATTTCCTGAGAGAGAACATTAGTGCTTTTATGCAATTCTGATTGAAATTTGGCAGCTAGTTTGGCGTACATAGATTCCAAGCAGGACTCCAAGTCCCCTTTTGTGAGTTGCTGTGTATTTTCGCTGACCAAGGCCGATAAGGGAGTGGTGGTATCCCGTGTGGGATCGGACAGGGATGCTTGCTCTGTATTGACTGGAGACATGCCGCAAATCTCGTGAGCCTTAAGTAGGTATGTTGTGAGGGACTTCTGAGCTTGTCCCTTTTTTTTCTTGGTGGACGGCATACAAGGAATCTCCCTGGGGGTGATCAACTGAAAATTGGAAAGTGAGTGAAGATTATAACCCCAGGGGACCTATAGCGCCCAAAATAGGTTCAGGGTTGTAGTTACATGGATGCTGTCAGATCCATCTGTGATAACATTATATTGTAAAAATATTCAGCAAGCCTTGAAAAGGGTAGATAGAACATAAGTCGCAGCAATCCTGCAAAAAATTCACTTTGGAGCAGGATGATGGCACTGGATCCCAACTCAGGACATGAGAGGGACAAATGGGAAGCAGGAAGCAGAGGACCTCCAATTCTGAGCACAGGGCCCCGCAGGGAGACACCCTCCGGGGCAGTATCAAGGCCCCAGTAGGCCTCTGAGCACAGTAAGGGCCACAGTCACAGAAGATGATGGATTCTGGGGCTATTAATATGTGGCCCACTCCCCAAAGCACTGTGGGGAGATCATAATGACAGGATGCCGCCTGTACCCCCCACTCACTGTGTCCAGGTGAAAGGAGGCCTCTGGCAGAAGGTGTAGGCCGCAAACGTCGCCGCCGCCGCGGGGAGCAGCAACACTCAGCGGCGTCCCTCTCTCAGCCTCTGTGATACAGAGGACGCTGCAGACGTCCTCGGGTGATCCCCCACAGCCCGGATGGCAGCGGGTGTGGATGGAAGACGCCGAAGCCCCGGCCCGCGCGGCCGCACCAGGCCGCGGACGTCCACCGCCACGAAGGGCGGAAATGTCGCCCGGAGTCCACCTCCCAGGTATCCGGAATGATACCAGGGCCCTCCGCTGCTCCACTGTGATCCGCTGCTGCACGGATGGCAGCGGATTCCGAAAATCGGCGCTGGAGCTCTGGATTATGTGGCCGCTGCGGTCGCCATCTTGGACACGCCCCCGTGATGTTTAGTTTTTCTGACAATGTATTTATGCATTAAAAAATTAAATGGTATTTTTTTGTTATCTTGTTCATTATGGAGGGTTTACTAAAGGAGAAAATGTTCACTTAGCAAAGTGAAGTTTCACTTAGTTTAGAGGAGAGGGTAAAGTTGTATAAGGGAATTTGAATAAATGGGATTCCTGCTTTCACATGGATGGATTAGTATACAGTAGCTTTATCTCACTCATCTTGGTAAGATTAGCGCACCTCAGGGGCGGACTGACCATTTGGAAACTCGGGCACTGCCCGAGGGCCCGGGGTCAGTAGGGGGCCCCATGAGATGCCCCTGGTACCTTTTTCATAGGCTTTTTTGAGTTTGGGCAAGGACACAGGGGCCCCATGATCCCCTATTGCCTGGGGCCCCATGAGTTGTCAGTCTGCCCCTGGCGCACCTACAGTAAATGAATCTCACAGGTGCAATTCCGGATCACGGGTGCAATGCCAGGCTCCTGCAGACTCTCAGTATAGCTGTCTGCCCATACCTCCCATATGAGCAGATAGTTACTGAAGAGCAGGAAGACCAATGAACTATGAGAGTGCTTACCAGCACCCTCGCAGTTCATTGAAAACTACAAGCCATGGCAGATGGTACTTATAGTCCATTCATTCACATTTCACTCTGAATGAACAATATGGCTCTGTGTGTGTGGGGAAGGGCCCTACACAGCCCTGCTATTTTTAAATTGTGACAGCAAGCGGAGAATGGGGGTGCCAGGGGGCTGTTGGAGCATGCTACACTCTAAATATGGGTTGAACATGTAAAATGCTCCAAAGGTAAACCTATCCTTTAATGCCTTCATGCTGCACATATGCCTCACTGGGTGGTCGATGTTTCTATGCTGAAAGTGAGCACACTCAGTCCCTACTAATGATTGGTAGTTAACTTGACTAGCTACCAATCATGTGACTACAGGGACAGCCAGTCACAGTGGTCACACAATCTTCAATCCTGTCCTCTCCCTGGGTATTAAGACCTTTTTAATAGGATGCTGGACTGGGCAGGAAGGACCAACCGTATTTTTTACCGCCTCCTGCCCACCATATAAGGTAATGACGAGCGCAAGGTGGTTCTCTCGTTCTGGGATGACGTCATATGACATCCTCCCACTCTAACCACGCATGCGCGGCTCTGGGAGAGAGTAGCGATCGATGGTGTGCTGTGTCCCTTGGACACAGTGGATCACCGATCAACGGAAAGAGCCGAAGATGTCGGCTTGGTCATGTGATCAGCTGTGTCCTAATCACAGCTGATCACATGTAAATAGGGAAATGCCGTTTATCGGCACTTCTCTCCGTACGAGCTATCACGCTGACAGCTCGAGAGGAGAGGAGAGCCGGTAATCGGCATTCCTCGGAGGGGACATCTATACACACTGATCATCAGGGCACTGATGATCAGTGTGCCCTGATGATCAGTGTAGACCCAGCAGTGCCACCTGCCAGTGCCCATCAATACCACCTGCCAGTGCCATCAGTGCCTCATCAATGCCACATATCAGTGCCCGTCTGTGCTGCCTTTCTGTGTCACCTATCAGTGCCACTCAGTGCCACCTATCAATGCCAGTCAGTGCCACCTATCAGTACTGCCAATCAGTGACACCTATCAGTGCCAGTCAGTGCCACCTATCAATGCCAGTCAGTGCCGCCAATCAGTGCTAATCAGTGCTGCCTATCAGTGCCAGTCAGTGCCGCCTAACAGTGCCAGTCAGTGCCACCTAACAGAGCCAGTCAGTGCCGCCTATCAGTGCCACCTATCAGTGCCGCCTATCAGTGCCGCCTATCAGTGCCATATATGAGTCCTACCTTCCAGTGCCCATCAGTGATGCCTGTCATTACCCATCAGTGCCACTTACTAGTGCCTGCCCATCAGTGCCACTTATCAGTGTCCATCAGTGCAGCCTATCAGTGCCCATCACTGCAGCCTCATTAGCGCACATCAATGAATGAGAAAAATCACTTATTTACAAAATTTTATAACAAAAACTAAGAAAAAACATTTTTTTTTCAAAATTTTCAGTTGTTTTTGGTTTGTTTAGCAAAAAATAAAAAACCCATTGGTGATTAAATACCACCAAAAGAAAGCTCTATCTGTTTAAAAAAATGATAAAAATTTCATATGGCTACAGTGTTGCAGTGTTACTGAAAGCTGAAAACTGGCCTGGGCAGGAAGGGGGTGTAAGTGCCCTGTAGGCAAGGGGTTAAACAAGTACAGCAGTTTTGACTAGAGTTTCATGGATGAAAGGTTAGATGTCAAATGCACATTAAAATCTTCTGTGCTCAGAGTGACAGTTAGGACCTTGGCAGGGCTGGATGCTCATTATTAGAGAATGTACAGTAGGTGCCAAAAAACCTTCTGCAAAAATCACCATACAGAGCATTTTCTTTTTTACTGATTCTGACCTTCTCTATAATATTACAAAACATAAACTTAGCTGTACCATAAAACGCCATCTAATTGCTTCTGATAAATAAGGCTTTGCATCTAGATGTTAGTAATAACATTTTATCCATGGGTATAGAATGTCTGTATTTAGCAGAGCATCCAAATACTTGGCTAAATCCCCATGGCCCTTTTTTTTAAACCATGACTGCCAATGTTTCAAACGTTGCTGGAAGCTTGTAAACTTAAAATATAGAAAGTATTTTTGTTTAGGGTCAGAATGCCCTTCCAAGAGACCCAGTATGTGTTTGCAGCTATCACTGCTATCTCTACACCACTTGTAACATACCATACCACTATATACAGTATTGTAAGTCAGAATTATAAAAACTTTCCAGCATAGTTACTTCTAAAATGTATAATTCATTTATTGTTCTTTCATAAATCCTTGCTTTGTGTAGTTTTAGCCACCTATGAAAAATATGCTTGAGTGCATTTAATACCATAGCTCTTATATGTGAAGTATTTTATGTTGAATTTCCTTTGTGAATGTGGAAGACAAATCTGAATATGTATGAGTCTCATGCATTTTCTGATTTCCTGTTGTATAGATTAGAAAGCTTTGTTCCTCTTCTGCATCACCTAAAATGAGTTATACGTGGATAGATCATCACCCACATTCCACCTATGTTCAGAAAATATTGTGGATGAAATATAGTTATATATATATATTATAACGTGCTTGTATATACAGGGCTGCTGTGGTTTCTTACCAGTTTTCTATTTTCATAACAGGTAAAGATACACCATATTGCCAAAAATATTGGGGCGCCGGCCTTTACACGCACATGAACTTTAATGGCAGTCTTAGTCCATAACTATAACAGCTTCAACTCTTCTGGGAAGGCCGTCCACAAGGTTTAGGGGTGTGTCTATTAGAATGTTTGACCATTCTTCCAGAAGAGCATTTGTGAGGTCAGGTAGTGATATCTGATGAAAAGGCCTGGCTCGCAGTCTCTGCTTCTACACTATATTGCCAAATGTATTGGGTCCCCCTCCAAATCACTGGATTCAGGTGTTCCAATCCCCTCCATGGCCACAGGTGTATACAATCAAGCACCTAGGCATGCAGACTGCTTCTACAAACATTTGTGAAAGAATGGGTCGCTCTCAGGAGCTCAGTGCATTCAAGCGTGGTGCCGCGATAGGTTGCCACCTGTGCAGTAAGTCCATCCGTGACATTTCCTGGCTACTAAATATTCCACAGTCAACTGTTAGTGGTATTATAACAAAGTGGAAGCAACTGGGAATAACAGCAACTCAGCCATGAAGTGGTAGGCCACGTAAAATGACAGAGCGAGGTTAGAGCATGCTGAAGCGCACAGTGCGCAGAAGGCACCAACTGTCTGCAGAGTCAATAGCTAAAAACCTTCACACTTTCACCAACACACCAAGGATTCCTCAAATGGTTCCAAAGCTTTATTCTGTGGTCACATGATAAACATAAAGGCAACGTTTTGGAGCCACACAGGACCCCTTCATCAGGTGCCTGACGAAGGGGTCCTGAATGGCTCCAAAACGTTGCCTTTATGGTTATCATGTGACCACAAAATAAAGCTTTGGACCCATTTGAGGAATCCTTGGTGTGCTGGTGACAGTTCTTCAATTTTTTTTTTTTTGCATTATTTGAGTATAGTTAGATGTTTGCAGCCACTTTTTTGTTTTCAATTATACAGTGGGGCAAAAAAGTATTTAGTCAACCACCAATTGTGCAAGTTCTCCTACTTAAAAAGATGAGAGAAGCCTGTAATTGGCATCATAGGTAGACCTCAACTATGAGAGACAAAATGAGAAAAAAAATCCATCACATTGGCTGATTTGGAAAGAATTTATTTGCAAATTATGGTGGAAAATAAGTATTTGGTCACCTACAAACAAGCAAGATTTCTGGCTCTCACAAACCTGTACCTTCTTCTTTAAGAGGCTCCTCTGTCCTGCACTCATTACCTGTATCAATGGCACCTGTTTGAACTTGTTATCAGTATAAAAGACACCTGTCCACAACCTCAAACAGTCACACTCCAAACTCCACTATGGTGAAGACCAAAGAGCTGTCAAAGGACACCAGAAACAAAATTGTAGACCTGCACCAGGCTGGGAAGACTGAATCTGCAACAGGCAAGCAGCTTGGTGTGAACAAATCAACTGTGGGAGCAATAATTAGAAAATGGAAGACATACAAGACCACTGATAATCTCCCTCGATCTGGGGCTCCACACAAGATCTCACCCCGTGGGGTCAAAATGATCACAAGAACGGTGAGCAAAAATCCCAGGACCACACGGGGGGGCCTAGTGAATGACCTGCAGAGAACTGGAACCAACGTAACAAAGGCTACCATCAGTAACACACTACGCCACCAGGGACTCAAATCCTGCAGTGCCAGATGTGTCCTCCTGCTTAAGCCAGTACATGTCCAGGCCCGTCTGAAGTTTGCTAGAGAGCATTTGGATGATCCAGAAGAGGATTGGGAGAATGTCATATGGTCAGATGAAACCAAAATAGAACTGTTTGGTAGAAACACAACTCGTCGTGTTTGGAGGAGAGAGAATGCTGAGTTGCATCCAAAGAACACCATACCTACTGTGAAGCATGGGGGTGGCAACATCATGCTTTGGGGCTGTTTCTCCACAAAGGGACCAGGACGACTGATCCATGTACAGGACAGAATGAATGGGGCCATGTATCGTGAGATTTTGAGTGCAAACCTCCTTCCATCAGCAAGGGCATTGAAGATGAAACGTGGCTGGGTCTTCCAACATGACAATGATCCCAAACATACCGCAACGAAGGAGTGGCTTTGTAAGAAGCATTTCAAGGTCCTGCAGTGGCCTAGCCAGTCTCCAGATCTCAACCCTATAGAAATCCTTTGGAGGGAGTTGAAAGTCCGTGTTGCACAGCGACATCCCCAAAACATCACTGCTCTAGAGGAGATCTGCATGGAGGAATGGGCCAACATACCAGCAACAGTGTGCCAACCTTGTGAAGATTTACAGGAAACGTTTGACCTCTGTCATTGCCAACAAAGGATATATAACAAAGTATTGAGATGAACTTTTGATATTGACCAAATACTTATTTTCCACCATAATTTGCAAATAAATTCTTTCCAAATCAGCCAATGTGATTGTCTGGATTTTTTTTCTCATTTTGTCTCTCATAGTTGAGGTCTACCTATGATGCCAATTACAGGCCTCTCTCATCTTTTTAAGTGGGAGAACTTGCACAATTGGTGGCTGACTTAATACTTTTTTGCCCCACTGTATCTGGCAGTGCAAGAGGATTCTCTTTTTTCTTTTTTATTTCGTCCACTGGATTGTTTGCGGTTCCCAGCCTGTGGTTGCTACAGCCCCCAGCAATACTGAATAGCCATTTGCAGGAGCATGTGCGTTTGGAATACTGTGTTTGGATCTTACCCCTTTACCAGCTCACCAGCCCTTGCTGCTGGCCTTCCACCATTACAAGCTCATGCCACCTCTCCTTTTCTGCTGATTCCACTATTACCACTTTCTTCTCCCTCTGTTGGCCTGCCATCATTACCAGCTCTTGCCATCTCTGCTGGCCTGCCATCTTTACCAGCTCCTCTTATTTCTACTGCTCTTCCACCATTACCAACTCCTGATGCTTCTCCTGGCTATCGGCTGCTACTATTACCAGCTTCTGCCACCTCTCCTAGACTGCCACCATTGCCGTCTCCAACCACCTCTGCTAGCCTCCAACAATTAACAGCTCCTGTAGTCCATTCTGCCCTATTCTGATGTCTAAGAACTGTAAAGGTAAATACTGTTTCCAAAGCCTGGTCTCAGTTTCAAAATGTTTAATGCTTGCTGCAGGGTAAATTGTGAGTTGCACCTGAACGTTTGTGGACTGCTTCAGTGCTGAGGCACTGCAAAGATAACACACATAATGCTTCAGGAGCTGCACCTCAGCTGCAAAATCTGTAATGTTTGCTGCAGGGTAAATCATGCTCTGTTTCTTCTAGTTAATAAAACTCCCTATCCCTTAGGAAAAGCTACAGGACTTTTAAAGTATCAAAATATCCATTAGTATCTTTAAAAATCATAGCTTTTATTTAACAACATAAAACTTAAGATACAATATTATATGCTGTTCATTGTACAAATAACTCAAAAATACATCTTTTTAGCAACCCTGATCTTCCAATACGTTAATAAGCACATCAATAATTAGTACATATTTCCATTGTGGATGTATATTGGCAAATCAAGCTTCAATGAATTTCTCAGGTCAACGTCTGCTTCTTCAGGAAATGTAGGGGGCTAAATGCCTGTAATACAAATCATCAAATATTATAATAAATACACTGCT